AAAATCTCCTGATAATAAATTATAAAGATAAATAATAAATGTCAACACCTCCCAAAGTGAAAGGTCCACCAGTCTGGCCACGACATCTGTAAACCATCTGTTTGCAATCTCTGCTATATTGTATAAAAATTGTAAAACTTGCTGCCCTAAGAAATTTGCAACTATCTACGTAAGGCTGTTCAACATTGGTGTGCATGAGGATAAACTAGCAAGCTTGATCAAATGCAAATTCCTGAAACTCATCACAGAGAATCTTATTCAGTGATCCTCCAGTGCATCCCAGAAAGCTGAAATTTTGATTACCACTTAGGTCACTTCGAAGCATGGGTCCATGATCCACAGTTTGTAAATCATCAGGTTAGGGAAACCATAAATATTGTATTTTGAGAAATCTAAGACAATATGTAAGTTCAGAGTAAGACAATATTGGTAGAGGCTATAATTGTGAGTAAAGCTCCATGGGTAGAAGACTAATGAGAATGTGGGTCATAAAGGATGAAGGCACAGAGCCTTGAAATTGGCATACCTGTGATGGCCAAGTGTAAGGTAATCACAGAACTGGTAATCACAGAACTGGTAATCATAAGCAACAAATGTTGACCAGTGTAAGGTAATCATAGCAACAAACTGTCCAGTAGGCTTGAGATTTCAAAACTGTAAATACTTTCTTAAAAACTGTGGACAAACATGTGCTCTAAGGTCAAGTAATCACAGAACTTATAAGTGGCCATGCAAGAAAAGAAGAAATATATTCCATAATATTCCAAAAGTTCATCAAAAGTCATGATCATTCTGTGATAGTCACTAACTTATTATCACTCATAATTGTTCTGAGTGATATCTAATTCAGATAGAGGTGTAGTTAAGACAAGGGTGTGTGAGAGAGTGTGTGTGTGTGTGTGTGTGTGTGTGTGTTGGCTATGTTTATATGGGCTTACATTTATTATTTTTTGATCTGAGATGTAGAAACAAGTTTTGTTAAAATCCAGTGATTCAGTGACATCTATAAACAACACTTGTTCATTCCATTGGGGAATTATGGAAACAGCTATATATGCAAGAAAGCCATCAAAATCAATTTACTGTTGTTAATGGTACAGCACATGGGTATATTCTTGCTTCATTAATGTCTATTATTTGCTTTCCAGTAAAGGACTAGTTGCTTTCAAAGACTGAATATAGGTCAGATTACATTCTGTGTGAGGTCTCAAAAGCAAGGTAATGGTGGTAAAGTATTCAAAATTTCTTCTGTACCAATATTTGCATATTTCTAATAAAAATAATGTACAGACTTCTTTTAGCTTTTATACCAATAGTGTGCTTCACTCTGCTCTATGCCAACTGCTAAAAAGACACTCTGCTGTAGTGAGTGCTCACAGCTTAATTCACAGATTAGCTGCCATTCTGCTAAGTGTCTTATTCTGCATTTCTTTTGTTATCTGGGCAGTGTCATTTCCTACCACACTACCCAACGTCTAGCTTTGAAAAGAAGTATTCAGTAGGCAAGAGCTAGTCCTGATGGATGGCCAAAAAGGAGTTTCTCTCAAGAAATGCCATAACCTAAAAGCAATCGAATAATGTGTACATTATCTTGGTGGTTCTTATAATGGGGATGAGGAAGGGTGGATTGTCTTAGAAATAAAGAGAATTTAATGTCACTTTCATGTTACCTGAGCAGAGTGAAAATATAATAAAATGGTAAAACAATATTCCAAACCCCTTGCAGTGATCCAGGAATGTAACAAAAGGCAGAACACTCTATTAAGATGTTCGTGGAAGGGGGATTATTTCCCCCAAATATGTGCTATGGGTATATCTAAGACATTTCCGTAGTTACCCATGTGATCCCAAATACATTTCAAGTCACACAGTTTAAAAAAAGTCACAATCTCTAAGGAAAATGAGAACTGTTAGGAAATAATATGCTCTAAATGGAGCATGGCTTGTCACAAAGGGATATGGCTGTTTGTAGAAAATTATGGGAAGAAAGCAAAGGTAAGGACAGAACTGAGCAAAGTGAGGGGCCATCTGGGCGGCTGTCAGTTAAGCATCTGACTCTTGGTTTTGGTTCAGATCTCATGATCTCAGGGTCATGAGGTTGAGCCCCACATCGGGCTCAGTGTGGAGTCTGCTTGAGATTCTCCCTCTGCCTCTACCTGGCTCGCTCTCTCCGAAATAAATAAATAAAATCTTTAAAAAAAAAAAAAGAACGGAGCAAAGTGAAGGGTGGCTCTGCTCATGGCAAAACTGAGGTTGAAACCTGTGAGATGCCCTGTGGCTCTAAGTTTCCAGAGTCATTATGAGATCTGTGTGTGTGTGCATATACATCTGCAGGTACACATGTGCTATCTATCTACTCTTTGCTTACAGTTCTTAAGAATGTTATATAACTTAGACAATAAGGAGGGAAGCAACTCTTTGCCGATCTTTTTTCCCTCTTCCAGCCAAGAAAGTTAGAGCTTCTACCTTATAAGTTACCTCACATTTTACAGATGTGAAATCCTATTATTACAAAATATGCCCTCATTTTAAAATGTTAGCTATACAAATGATGCACTCAAACAAAAAACCCGAAAGCCAAGTATACTCAAATTTACCAAAGTAATATTAAAATTGAGCATAGTGTGTTTATGAGTCTAAGACAGTCTAAACTCTGATGATACATCATAGTTATTAAAAATGCTGTAGCCTGTACTCAGCTCAGACCCACTAAAGCAGAGGGCCCAGGTAGGGCCCATATATATATGTTTTATCACTGATTCTGCTCCATGGAAGAAACCCTACTACAAAATACCAGTTTTTTGGGTTTCTTTTAAATCATCTGTTATTCTTCAGCACCAATAAAACTGACATATTATGAAAAAATGTGTTTAATGCAAGCATTAAATAAATGATTTATTTAGAGTATTTGAATGAATGAAATACAATTCAGGAGCTGTGAAAGTGGTCCACAGTAACATCTCTGGCAGAATCAAAGGCATGCAAGAGAAGAATTTAAAGGAGAACAAAAAAAGCAAAGAGAGAGGCAGGTATTTGGTATTCAGGTAACCAGATGAAGTTATAATATTCAACTGATGATCAAAACAATAATGCTGGGTCATCTAACAAAATGTGTATCTCCCACATGGCTACATATCAGTTATCTAGAAACTTCATTTATAAAGAAATAGTTTCTTACTTTCCATTTCATACAAGGAAGCTGAGATACCGGGACTACTTAAAATTTGTGCCAGCTCCTACAGCAAGAGCACTGAAGAGCTGGGTGAGGGCTCTCAGCCGCTGCACATACTGCCTCCTACCTGTGAAGCAGGTGGGAGGGAGGAGGAGAAAGAGGAAAAGGAGAAGGGATGAAGAAAAAGGGAGGTGGGAGGAGGCTAGAGGTGACCTTCTGATGAAGGCAGCAAGGAAAGCCTCTTGAGTGCCCTCTGCCTCAGCTACTGACCGGTCTCTACCACACTAACCTGCTGGTGTTCGGGGTCTGAGTGCAGCACACCAGCTACACTCCCCTCAACAGTATCCTCCATAAAACCCATCTGTGTCTGCCTGCCCCTCAGCACACTCTTTGCTGCTTTTTAAATTCATCAGCAAGGACAGATCTGCGATGAGAGCTGATCTGTTGCAAGGGAAATATGTGAGTTATTTGCCATTAGCATTTAGATTTGAACAAGGACATTCTGTGACAATGCCCTCACCCAAAGGCATAGAGTCCATGCTTAGAAGATCTTCTCAGGTAGGCAGGAGGAAGACAGAGCTTGGAGCACACCTAAGACCTTACCCTTTAATTAATCCAACCTTTTAGAGTAATAGCTGTTTGCATTTTAAATTTCTTTACAAACTATAAAATGTCTTTATTTGACCCCCATACAATCCTATGAGGGTAATATTTTCCTGTTTTACAGGTGAAGAACCCAACTCAGAGATACTAGAGATAGGGTTCATAGGTGCAAAGTAAAGACTTGAATGCAGGTGTTGCGACTCCAGATACAATGCTCCTCCCATAACTGCTTTCCTAGGCATGGAGATAAGCCTAAAGGCCCAAGATGCATCCAGTTTAAGATCAAATGCCAAGTTGCTATGTTAATGAGATAAAGCTGACAAGAAATATAGTGTGGTTAGATACAGGTTAGGGATAACCTATTACTACAAAGTAGTGGTAATGAATTTATGATTATTTTTTCAGTAAAACCAAATCTAAAAAGTTATTTTCAGAATCAAAATAAAGTCTTTTTTTTTTTTTTAACCCACTCCTTCCAGGCTTACTGACAAACACCAAAGGCAACAAGGTCTGTCTGCAGCACACTAAAGCCAAACTATTTACAGACTTGTAGTGATGACACAGTGTCAGGAACCTAGAGAACTAGTTTGTGTCAATAACCCCAGCTGAAAAATATTTCAGAGCATCCTATAGTATCCTTTTTATTTCAGTTTTTCACCTATTTGCTGGATATGTTAACACACAGAAATTCTGTTTAAAAACTGTGGTGGGACTCCTCCATATTATGTGTCTTTGAGCCTGCACAGGATACTTATTTGATTGGAGTTGGTTGCTAAAGGCCTAAATCAGAGTTCAGTCCATAGGACGGACCAGTTTCCTTCTTTTTCAAGATCCATTTTTTCTCTCTTAATCCCTGCCAAACATGTCATGCAAACATGGTATTTGCGGTAAGGGCCGCTTGAATGAGGCAGGACGACCGCAGCATAAACGCACGGCCGCCACTGGGGGCGCTCTGTGTCCCTGGCCTCCAAGTGTGTCCTGACACTGGAAACACTAACGTCGCGTGGGAACTTGTGAAAAACACACATGCTCCTACCCCAGACCTACAGAGTCAGAAGTAGTCATCTGTGCTTTGACCAGCCCTCCACGTGACCTGTTGACAGCTGAAGTTTGAGAACTACTACTCTAGGTTGATCACAAGAGAGCATTAACTTCAAATCTGAAAGATAATATTTTCAATCATACTGGTGTACTGCAAAATTTGCATGGAAGTATGATCCCTTACCGCATGCCCACATATCCACTGGCTTTCCATAAGGATCTTTACGTAGAACTTCTGGAGAAAGATAGCCCGGTGTGCCAGCAAAACCTAGGGAAAACGGAAGTTAATGAGTCAGAGTTGATTTGACAAAACCAATGTGAAACAGGAAACTAAGGAAGAAAACATTTTTGGGACTTTTTAATCTGATGATCTGTTTATCAAAATAAAACAAGGCCTAAAATAATCTACACTAGTTTTTCTCTATAGCAGTATCAACATTAATCTGCTTTGTAGCTTATTAGAAAAAAATGCATTTTTCCCCTAGATATGAAGGCTACTCTCTTATGCTATATAGTCAGCATGTATACTTAAGTCTATCTGGTTAGCAGTTCTTATTCTCACTTACTTATGCAGGATTTGAAACTAAACCTGTGAAGGGGATCAGAACATATCACCCCAAAATATGCCATTGTGGCATACTGATTATTTTTAGCTGAAGGCAACTGAGAATCAGTAGATGTATGACAGGCTCTTTAATCTCCCTTCTACCTAAAAGTAGGGCATAAAATTTTTTGTGAAAAAGGTGCCCTCCCTGTACCAGGAAGAGGAGAACATTCCTGGCATGGGAATTGGTACCAAGATGGATCTATACAAGCCAACCTTACTAAAATAACCTTGATCTTCCATTAGTTTCCCTATGTGTTTCCTCATTATTTCCCCACAATTTAATGTCCTGAGCCAACCCCCCTTTTTCCTTTGTCTTGTCAAATCTCCATAATTTATCACTCTTTGTTAAAATGGGATATAAGTCCCTTGGTCTGCCCTTTCTTCAGGTCTTCATTTATTTTCTAGAAAGGCCTCTGTGTGTATGTAAAAGTTAAAATATTAACATAAAAAAATTGTATGCTTTTCTCCTGTTCATCAGTCTTTTGTCAGTTCAACTCACACGCCCCAGTGACGGACCTAAGGGGGGAGAGCAAGTCTTTCCTCCCCCATACCTGAAAAGAAATAGGGAGAAATTTGAAGATAGGGTTAGAACCTTGGAAGAGATGATAGTTATCATGATACCAACATAATTTTATTATGAGAAGCATTCACCTATAAAACAAAAGAATAAAAACACAGACCCTAAGTAAATATTTTTGAAAGGTTGTCTATGGGGTGGGGATGGGGCTGAGAGTAATTGAAGAATTCACCAGGAGAAGGAATAAGCCCTAAATATATCAAAGAGATTGCTGTGTACTAATAAATAGTCAGTGTGTACTTATAACTGTCAACTAAAGAGAAGACTCAGGAACATTTGGATAAATCACTATTGAACAAGTATCAACCAGAATTTGAAGAAAGAGATGTGGTAAGAGAAACTAGATGGCAAAATAAAGTTTCATTATTGTATAAATCAGTGTAAACTCCAATGAAGTATGCTTAAATAACAATTTAGAGCTAGACCCTCGAGTGACATTTTTCTTATTTCTGAAAATAATAGCTTTCAAATAAAAATAGCTACTTTTAAAAAGACCCAAAATAACTATTTGGAAGTTTTCTATAAAGGCACACTTGAAAACTGGAAACATTTCTTTAAAAGGATATATAATCAGGAATTCCTCTGACCACAAATCACTGAAGAAGCTCATTACATATTTAATGGGATTCAAAGTGCCCAAGAAAGGAGCTTTTTCTTACCATTTTTCAAACTTATTAAGAACAAACAATGTGCAAAAACAAGTATAAAAATAAGTATGTATGTATGTGTATATATATGTAATAGTTATTCCTCTGAACAAAATTACCTTGTAAAGTGAGGCAAAGGATTGTGGATTTTAACCCCTACGCCCCTGTATTGCTTTTCCTTTCCTTTGTTGTAGAAGAAGATGGAGTGGACAGTGAGAAGGGACTCCAAGAGTCCCTCTGAACAAAATTACCTTGTAAAGTGAGGCAAAGGATTGTGGATTTTAACCCCTACGCCCCTGTATTGCTTTTCCTTTCCTTTGTTGTAGAAGAAGATGGAGTGGACAGTGAGAAGGGACTCCAAGAAAAGATGCCTGTACTGTAGTTTAAGCTTCACATGGACCACAGTGGGTCTACCTCTGTTCTCAAACTTCACTTAAAGGAAGCATTTACTTTGATTTACTTGACAGTTGTGAGATGAAAGAATTCCTGAGTAATCATGGTGGTCCCATTACCTAAAGTGTGAGGATTCCATCAAAGAGTGATGTGAAGTCCGCTAATTCCAAGGTAGGGATGGGCGTAAGAGTTCTAAAGAGCTACTGGTATGCCACACCTGCTCTCAGTCCAATGGTCTCTTTCTAACTCCTCCCAAGTTGAGACACAGACAAAGGAACCCAATGAGAAACCAATGTCCAATTCCAGATTGAAGACCATGTTCCTAGCCCACGCTTTAAGACCCTTTATCTCCCGGTTCCCCTTCATTCGTCCAACATGATTTCTTTCTACCCCTGAGCATTTGACCTGGTTAATTTTTTTAAGGTCTCTTGAAAACAGACTTCTCATTCTTGCCCTTGATGTTACTTTTTCTGTTCCCTGAAGCCTCAGTTTCCATCTCTACCTTTTCTATAACAGAGAGTTGGCTCTAAATTACTTCCATTTAGAGATCTCCTTAGCTAACTACAATTCTCAGTGGTCCATCCTTACTTTGAATTTTGACTACCTTTTTATATACAATCTATAACCTCCTACCTAGAATTAGTAAACCTTAAAATAGGTCTTAAATATCTTAGAATACATTTCCTAGAAGAGGAAATGTTAATGATATTTCGTTTAGGTAGAAAAGATAAAGAACTCACCATGTGACTAAGAAATGAAAAGGTAATTTTACATGTAAATTATTACAAACCTTCTCTGGAAATTAAAATGCTTAGAGAACACCATCACGTTCATTCTTTAATTTAATATAATTACCACTTGAGCAGTCAGTGGGGTCCTTACTCCTATTGAAACATACTCTAAATGTATAAACATTAAGGAACTGTGAACTGGGCAATGTGTTCTCATGAATACCAAAATACTCAGGGTAAGACAGATAAAACCTTCTTTAGCAGGAGATTAAACTCTTAAGAATCTCATTTATCATGATATATGCTATTAACAGGGAAATTAATGACAGCTTGTTTTCCTTAGAGATAGTATGTGCTTCTCACTCTGAAAAACCAATAGGAATATCAGAACAGATCAAAAACAAAACATAATTACTTACTGTTGGGAACGTCCATTGCATTAAAAAAAACCCTCAATATTTTTAAAAAGAGACATAATAACAATCAAGCAAAACAATTATTCCATGAAGGAAAATGGTGGTAGTTATCCTTTTTTCCTAGCAGCAACAAAGAACTGGAAATATACTGCAAACACCACTTCCAATCCTACAGGAGAAATGGGCTATATTTTGATATTTCTCTTTGGTAAATTTTCTAGCCATCTTAACAAGTGTAGTGACACAGGGTGTTACTTCTAGCATTTCTGGCTAGTAATCCAATAGATCAAGGTTAGGAAGACAGAAGAAATCATGAGAAAAAGAAACATTTAGACTTAAAAATGAGAAAAAAAACACAATAAGCAGCTTCTATAAGCCTTGTGTAGTTTTATTTTTCTTATTTGTAGTGGACCTCTTTTATTAAAATAAAATTGAGCAAAAGCCTGAAATTCTGGCATTATATGTAATGAAGAAAGAGTTCTGCTCTTGTCTTAAAATAACTTATTTTATTAAAATAAAAAGGCTCCCCTCCTCATCACTGATAATACATTTTAAGAGACAAAATTAATCAGTCAAGGGTGATAGACATTACGGAGGGCACTTGATGTAATGAGCACTGGGTGTTACATGCAACTGATGAATCACTAAGCTCTACCCCTGAAACTAGTAATACACTATAATGTTAATTAACTTTAATTTAAATAAAAAATAATCAAATATATGAGACTATGATGGTAGATATGAATAAATATCAAATCAAGTCACTCATACTAAAACATGCTTTTACTTTAAAATCTATGATATATCTGGTAGTACACCCAAAAGATAAATAGTATATCACATGCCTCCTTTTCCTCAGGTAGGTTACCGTGAGGATTCATTTGCATATAATAAGCCGAAAATAAGCTAAAGAAGAAAAGAAAAAGAAAAAAAAACAATTTGTGCATTCTCTTAAGCTTATAAACTATGTTTTTTCTACATTTTTTGAAATATGGAATTTTCTTAGGGCTTAAAATGCCCCTCTTGAAAGTCATTACTCTAATAGATATCTTAGCAAGAACATAACTGTTATAGTATCATACTGAAGAAGAAATGGGGATTTTATTCCCAATTTGTCATTCTTTCTCTGGAATCAGACGACTTTTAGAAATAAATGATCACAAATTTGTGTACTTTTATTTGGATGCTATTGCTTTCACCAACTTGATATTTGGTTTTTCACTCATTGATCTGCTAACAACTTTCACTGAGCAGGCAAAGAACTGTGGCATTGTGTTTCATGCCAAGATGGTTTTGGAAAACTTATTCAACATCTTTCGTAGCCCAGCATATTCCTATGGACTCATAACAGCCTTGCAAAGAAGTGTTTATTATCACTGCTTACAAAAGAGGACATGGACCTTACAGAGTTAAAGTGACTTGCCCAATATTATACAACTATTAAGAATCAGACCCAGGGGGCACCTGGGTGGCTCAGCTGGTTAAGCGACTGCCTTTGGCTCAGGTCATGATCCTGGAGTCCCGGGATCGAGTCCCACATCGGGCTCCCTGCTCAGCGGAGAGTCTGCTTCTCCCTCTGATCCTCCTCCCTCTCATGCTCTCTCTCATTCTCTCTCTCAAAAAAAAAAATAAAAAATCTTTAAAAAAAAAAAAAAAAAGAATCAGACCCAGGATATAAGTTTGGGTATTCTAATTCAAAAAGCAGAATTTTTTTCTACTACACACAATCCTGCCCTCAAGCAGCTTGTCTAGCACGGGAGATAAAACACAGAGGTAAAAAACAAGGGATATTTAAGGTGCTCAATTATATCACACCTTTATACACCAAGCCAAGTTGCTGATGTTAATTTGCAGCCTTGACTCTGATAATAAGGCTTGTCTTGTTCCTAATATCCTATCATCACCTTCTACCCAGTTCTGGCAATTAGATCCCTAGCCTAAGTCCTATTCTGGTGTCCTGCTTCATACCCTGAGTCTTGTGAAGCAGATGGGACTAGATGGCACTAGAGTCCAACCTCTGGGGCTTTGATTTCCTCTAAATGGACTTCCTTAAGAGTTCAGTCACTGTCTGTTCTACATGTTATCTGGAATTTGCTTGCTCTTGCATACTCCTTAGTTCAAGCTGTCATCACGCATAATATGAACTACTGTATTAGCCTAACTGGTCCCCTGCCTTCAGAGTAAGTATCCTTAAGCCACCCTCTGCATTGTTACGCACAACATCATTATATAACATAAACCCAATTATGTCTTTCCCTACTTAAAATTTTTCACAGGATTCTTGAAACTTCTAGGATAAAAGCCAAATCCTTCAAAAGCACACAAAATCCTTTCCCACCTAATCAACTACCACTCATCCCAGTATAGCTATATCAAACTTCTTGCTATTCCACAAATAGAAACAGTAGTTTCATGCCTCTGAGGTTTTGCATGTGCTGATCCCTCTGTCTGGTATTTATCTCCTTGCATGTTAGTGAACAAATTCTCATTCACCTATTAGGGAAGCAGAAGCACTACCCCAAACACCAAAACTTTCCCCAGAGCACCTTCATGCATGCCTCTGTTAAGATGTTCCTACACTACATGGTAAATAGTTACCGATACAGAAATGTCAGTATCTTGAGGGGCAGGACCTCCTGCTTAATTTAAGCATCCCCATTTATTATTCTGCCCATCTCTGTGATAGCCTTGCTACTTTCTGTTGGACCTCAACTCCAAAGTTACCATATATTCTTTATCTGTGTCAACTGTGCCCTTACCCAGGATACAAAGATGCCTCTGAATCTCCCAATTTACAGTACTTATTCTAGGTCCTACCTTCTTTCAGTGTGCATTTAAGAGGAACAAGCTTATTCATATGTCAAAATATGACAAACCAAATGCCAAGTTTGGAGATACTAAATTCATCTGGTGGGTGAGGAGAGACTTAATGTAAATGGTGGTATTAAGCTTAGGAGGAATCGTGGACAAGGCTAACAGTCAGGTACTACTGAAACAGGACAGGAAGCAGAAAATGAGGTCCTAAATTAAGCTGCCTGTAGAGGAGAAGGCTGCCATGCCACCCACTCACACTTACTAGCTGGGGGCTCTGTGCACACCTTAGATTTAGGAAAACACAGAAAGTCTTTGCATATAAAATGAAAGAAGCACTTTTTGAGTGCTCTTTCTCTTTGCTGTTGTTGTTCAGAGGAAAAGCAATTAGAAGTGAAGGGCATTTAAAAATGATCTAACCTCAATACATTGAAAGTCAGAAAAGAAGTAAGATAGAGGCTTGGGGAGAGGTTATATTTTGGGAGACTACATGGAAAAAAATGGGTCAGTACTGGGAAATGGCAAAAACAGAGGCATAAAAAAAAGAAACTGAATAAAATAACCCAACTGGATAAATATTGAAACAATACACAAGCCTGGTTAGGAGTGCTCTAATTTAAACTGAGAGTTAATTTCTTTCTTAATTGTAAAGAAATAGACAATTCATCAAAAGAAATTTCAAAATTATCAAAATTTTAGAGCGGAAACTGGTAGTGTGAAGAAACAGAAGATAATTAAGATGAACACACACACATATATATGCTATAATATTTTTAAACTTTAATTTGTTAGCTACAAAATATGTGGAAATATTCTGTATTTCCTGAGTCCCTACAATTCACACAGCAGTTTTTGGCATCAAGTAAGGTTCTATGTGAACAGTCATTTTCTCTTAAAAAGTCCTCTTTTAACAATGCAACCCTCCCTATTAATTCTTAGTACAGGATCCATTTTCTCACTCATATTTTAAGAAAAAGTCTACATGTTACTGCTCTCCTATTAATCTTTTCTCTTAAATTATTTCTAGATTATATACCTTTTAATGTCAGTAAAATTAAATGCTTATAAAGGTCTAATGTCTTCAGTTTAGTCAGGCTGTTGTTAGAAGTAACATTTCTGTCTTATTTTGGCTGGGAAGTGGGTTATGATGAGCCAGAAGAGAATGAGCAGCATGAAGTAGAGAGAAGCCCTACTCACCAAACCATGCCTGCTGGTCTCCTTGAACTTCTATGGCTAAGCCAAAGTCTGCCAGTTTCACAGCTGCTCCCTTGGATTTGCTAGCTAAAAGCAAATTCTCAGGCTTTATTTAGAAAGAAAAAAAGAGAATGAAGTGAGAACCTATTTTAAGTGACTATTCAAAACTAACAACATTTTGTAAGATTAGGGAAAAAAAAAAGTCATGCACTGTCCTCTCTCGCGAAGACTGTCATTCCTAAATCCCAGGGAAAACGTGGTTAGAAAAATGGTTAAAAATTATCATGTGTGCAGGCTTCAGACAGATGCATAAATGTACTAGAGAGATACGGGGAAGAAGAGAGAATACACTTGGGGAGAGATCAAATGAACGGAAGCACCTGTCTTGACCTGCTCACATGCTTCCAAGGGCTGCTGAGGTCCAAACTTGGCCATGGACATTGACTTAGAAGCCTAATAGAGCACAGACATTTTCAGCAGAAGGAAACTTGGCAAAATGATAACAAGAGTTGGACCAATCTACAGACATTTGGCAAATGAAACTGTGCAAATTAAATCCTAGTTGACTTCAAGAGTTTGGACCCAAATGTAGTCATTTTGATTCCTCAATGTTTCCAAACAATTTCTGTACAAATTTTGGAGTCTTATTCTGAATTACATATTAAATTGCTGTCTTTAAGAATCTGTTTATTCTTAAAGGCAGAAAGAGTGTACTATTTGCCAAATGTTATAGTTAGCTTTTTTTTTCCTTATAAGCCAGTTTTTTAAAACATAATTTATATGTCTACAAAGTGTGATTCAAAGCATTCCTTATATATTTGTTCTCACATCTTGGAATACTATAACAAGTATTTCATTTTCTTGGGTATTTATCATTATTCAAGGACTGATAACTCGGTCTTGGAATAAGGCTGTGTTTATACCACTGTTTCCCAACCAGGGCATCGAGACACACTGCAACTCTGAAAACAGGCACGAGGGCAAAGTCTTTAATTTCCCCTGACCACCTTTGTGGATGTTAGTAAATGAAGGGAGAAGACGGTCAGGAAAAGGAGGCTGATTAATACATACACTGAAGTCTACCATCCCCAGGTATCTGGATAAACATACAGCGGGATTGGTACATACACATTTGGGAGAGTAGTTCAACATTTTCTTACCTTGGGCTAAAACCCAGCCAATTTAGAGGTGTGCCTTGGACTGAAAGAAGTTGGGAAACAATGGAGTCTACAAGTGCCAAAACAATTGTCTGGAAATCTAAATATTCAGGTCATTCAAAGTGGTTCTGTTTATGTGTTGGCAAACTAATTCAATATTTTTTTTTCATGAAATGGCTACTTTTTTCTTACTGAATTAGGCGATTCTGTTGATTGTTTTGAGCTTGTATAAACACAGCCTAAACCAATATTTAATTTATTAATTAAGCCAGCCATGCAAATTAGCAAAGACTCATAACCAGAACTTGGAAAAATTAGGTTAAGTTTATAAGAAGTAGGAGTGTAGGCAAGTAAGTTTTAATCAAGTACCAGACTTCTTCAGGCTATTGCTGTTCACTGCCATCAGATTCATCTCTATTATGACAATAGGTAACTGTAAGGAAAACTCCGTAATTTCTTAGGGCTGATAGGGCTTTTTAAATTACCTCAACACTAAATACATGATAATTTAGTTTGGACACTGGGATGAAGATGTCTCAAGAATATGAAAGATCTCCATGCTGAAATAACCTTTAGTAAAAAACCTAACATCCACAATTACTTGGAACTCTGGTTATCTATTAATGTAGTACAGTACCTAACCATATTATATTATTAATATTTGACATTTTATTTTCACAACTAAAATTTATGGCCTACTACATTCATACATTTTCTAATTTAATCACAAAGTGATTTCCAGCTATTATTAAATAAATGACTTGGAAAAACCACACCAAACTATAAGCGATAGTTTAATTCTTTGTAACCTTCACATTCAAAAGCACTGAGACGTCAGAGATCTCTGCTAATACACATTTGTCCTAATTTGTCAACCACAGACTCATTCAAGGAAAGAGTTCCAATTACTTTAGAAATCACGTCATTTTAGGTCTTTTAATCAAGTAGTACTGAAGTTTGTTGAGCAAATGCCAGTGCCATCAGTAAATAAACTTTTAAAATATTTATCACTAGATCAAAAAAGGTTCTGGGCAGTGCTGTGTGCCTTACGCCCTTAAATACCAAGTGTCTGCCAATTCAGAAGAAATGGAACACCTTAGAGTTTTATCATACATGGACTCTGAATGACTGGGGCAAATATTCATACCTAGAGATGACCTAGAAGACCTCTCTATAGGGCCTTGTGAGTCATCCAGGGAAATAATTAATCCATCTGGATAAGTGTTTTACCTTATACCCATGAAGACTGTTCAGCTGCAGTTATGTACAGGAAAAGGCAGGGCTCTTTCAAGGTTACTGTGTAGATTTAAGAATTAATAGAACTAAAATGGCTTCGTGTTTGTACATATCTTTTAGGCAAACCTAAAATATAGAATTATGGAATGCAAATTGAAAAATCAGGATGCTTACTGCCTTTATTAAAGGATTCTTTTCTTTATAAAATATTTCATCACAAGATTGCTTCTAATGGCCAGGTTCAATGAAACATTAGAAATAGCACACAAATTTGATTTATATACAACTGTTTGGAATACATTCAAAATTTGAATAATCCTGTAATCATGTTCTACCATTTATATAGCAACCAACTTGAATATGCGTTGTACTACAAAAGTTCCCTGGCAAGTAGGTTAATCCAAATTCTGAAGACCTACAGAAAAGAAGATAATTTGTGATTGTATTTCACAAAAGCTGAAATAGTAGAATCTTTCAGCTAATTAGTGGCTGCTTCCTTAAAAGGATCACCACCATTACCTGCTACTATTCAACTATTTTGATTTTCTAAAGCAAATGAGAAAGGTGAAATCAGAAACACAGGTCTTCCAGTGTATAGCTGAACATGAGAGAAATGGGCAACATGATGCTCTAGAAAAAAGATGAAGAGCTAGGTCTATGTCCTGGGACTGACTGTTATTAATTGTGTGGACACGGGCAACTCAAAGACTCTTGGAGCTAATTAGTTCTTTCATCTCTCAAATGAACATTATAAGCATATTTCTCATAGCACTATATATGAAGTTATAAAATCTCATTGGATTTTATCCCAAGAGCCTGTCCTCGGTATGGAACAATATACACATTAGTGATTAGCTATTACACTCCAGTGCAGCTGACCATGTCAACGTGCAGGACACTGGATATTTGCAATGAATGTGCATAACTTGGGGGATGTCTATATTCCTAAATTTAATGCAATCTATTATACTAATCTTTATACACTGAGATTATCTCTAAATTCCTATAATGCAATCACTTTTTAGGTTGGTTTTTAAATAGATTCTACTGACATTCTCACACACAGGTTCCTTCCCCACCCAACTGCTTCCTAATGATGCAGGATTTTCCATGACATCTGGTCTTAGTGTCAACAACCATTTATAGCATATCAGCTGTAATGAGCAGCAACTGTTGGCAAGTTTAGTTCTGTGCTTCCATATGGATGCAATGGCAACTTCTTTCAATGTGATTTGAGATTTTCTTGAATCTGTTCAAATATCTCAAACTACCTAGGCAGGTTGCTGGGATCACTTTTAAGACTGGGACTTACTTGGGAGATCAAATAACTCAAACCCCTCAGTCTCTAAATGAGGTAGGGAGATCCAAACAAGATGGAGGATTTGAAACCAGATTCCTGATTTCTTTTAAAGATGTGATACTGAGGAAACTCCTCTGATGGTATAAAAATGGGTCATTTGCAAAAGACAGTCCACTCAGTAGACAGTTGCAAAAGAATCTGAAGTATTCAAAAATATTTCCTACCCATATCCAAATAAAACCCGGGGGAAAACTTACGAAATATGAGCCATAGTTTCAATCTTGCTTCTCAAAAATCTCACAAACACATCACAAGAATTTCTAAATTAGTGTGATCTTTATTAAGGAACTGATTGGGCAAAGGTGATGATCATCTTCAGCATTAGTCATATCACAGATTTATCTGTGCACATATGTGATTATCTAGCCAACAAAACTCAAACATTAGGAATTTTTATGTGTAGTGAAATCATGTGTTTTACTTTTTTTTTCAGTTTTCTTTATGAATATCATAAAACAGCCAGTTAGTTTTATCATTCTATATTATTTCTTTCATTTCTTCAGATATTAGTTTTTAAGAATTGAAACTGTCTTTTTAGATTGCCTTCCTCTACTGGAGAGTATTAGTTATTTCAACATGAAGTTAAGCACTCTGCTTTGGTGTGTTTTCAGTCACTTTTCCTTTGCCAAAAAAGGTGAGAACAAAGCTCCTAGAGATAAACTAAGTGAAAGTGCATGAACTGAAAAGCTTAAATATCAAGCTCACTCATGCACATGGCAGAAGTTCTTTTGTGCACATGGTACAAGTGACTTTTGCTTTTATTTTTATATGGAATGGATGCTTGAATTTATGTACTCAGCACAGGGAGTTCTCAGCTGATGCACTGTTCTGTGATTATGAAGTACTATTTCCATCACCATGCATACATGAGCAAGTTCATAAGAATCATCTGTTTTCCATTCCTGTTTTCTTATTTACTTCTACATTATTAGCACATACTATTAGCACATACCTCTACACTGTTAGCAAATACTTCTCTGAAAGAAGCAGAGCAGGGTGCAACCACAGTGGGACTGTGCCAATTACCTACTGTTTCTCCATGGCCTGATACACAGCTGACACACAGCTGTCGGGTTCAATAAAGAAACACAAGAATGACCAATAGATTATGGAATTTATCACTTACTGAGTTTGTGTCTAAAACACCTAGACATACTTTATACATAAATAACAAGTTCTTTAAACTTTCATCTGAGTATACTTCTGAGAAAAGTGGAACAATTGCAATTTTATAATTATTCAAAATGTAGATTCACAATTTGATAAATCTACTACTAAAGAGGATTTACTGAACGCATGTCATATTCCCCCAGAAAATTAATTTTTCTGGTCTTTAATTTTATTCCTATATTTAAATTCAACCCCCCTAATCTCCAAAATTATCTTCATTAAAATCTATTCTCTCTCTCTCTCTGCCCCTTCCCTCCCTTTCCTCTCTTCCTCCCTCTCTCTCATATCCATCCACTGATCTAATGATATTTCCATTAAATGACACTGTTTTTCAGGAGGTAGGCTAGGGGAAAAAAAGCAGCATTCTCCACTGAGGCGATTCACAGGTGTTGATGTGTTGTCAAAAGATTGTTTTATGTATGAAGCCTTCTATCCAGATGCTGTTCATGAAGTAGTTTGGTAACCATTTCTGATGCACCCTGAACTGAAGACATCTTACTATTTTGTGTGAAACATACTTATATGATAAAGCAGAGCTATAAAACTGTCTCCTTTGACTTACTTTTGTTCCCTGATTCACAGAAACTGTATTCTTCAGGCTGTTAACTGGAGAACACATCCTTCTATTTCTTGTGACCTCAAGAGTTGTCACTTGTTACTGCCACCGCTCTTTAACCTAATATTTTTCCGGATTCAGTTTTCGTCTGATGTATTTCCTTTTTTCTGGGAGGAACAGCATTGATACATATTTTAAAATGATCTTTAATTCAGTAGCCTGTAGGTTCTAGCCACACAAGGTTTGTTCTTATTTTGCTCTGTAATTTGTGCCCACAGCTCTGATAGAGCCTCAACAGGTGCTCAAGAAATGTTTGATGTTTGTTTCTCTCTTTTTATATCTGAATTTTCAATTATCAGCTCACAAACACTCAACACTAAGTTACAGTAATCTACTCTTTATAAACAATCTATTTTTAGGCACTCCAGACTGATTGTTTTGATGTGGCCTAAATCAAATGTGGCAAATGCATTTCATTCCTCTCTACATCTCATTTTCCAAAGGCTGTGACCAATGCCACTATTACTGATTTGCTAAATAAGAATTTTTTTTCTTTGAACATCTATTAACAAATTATGTTGTGCACCCCCTCAACTCCATACTGTATCTTACACATAACTTAAACTTACTCTCTTTTTCCTAATGATACAGATTTTGTACAGCTCTGGAAGATCCATAAGCAGGATCATTTTAATCATTTGATTCACTAAACCTAGAACCATTTCCCAATTCTTAACGTTGCTGGCAAAATTACTTTCTCATCATTGTTTGACCTATTTTTTGGCCTTTCTAAAGTTTTCGATTTATCCAACTAATGAATTGAGAAGTGGTAGCAATTAAGTATGCAGACTCTGGAACCAAAGTGCTTGGGCACAAATCATAACTTACTAGCTGAACAACCATGAATAAGTTCTTTCACTCATGGTTGCTAGATCTCTCCTTACGCAACATGGGGAAGATCAAAGTGCCTTTCTCATAAAGCTGTTGTTAAGATTCCTATGATAACACAGTACAGGGTACATGGTAACTGCCCGATAAATGGCAGCTATTATCATTTTTATTACTAATGTCCCGCCTTGATCCAAATCCTCCCAAAGATGAGAGTCATAGTCCTGAACTATAGTACTATAATTATGTCACCACTGCTAGATACTCCTTAATACTGCTTGGATCTGACACTGGATTCACCTCAGACAAAAGGTCTGTGTATCCCTGGATACTGCCTGGTTGTGATTGATGTGCTTCCTTTATGCTAATATCCCACCACATGGAGCCTTCTCCTATTGCTTGTTTCTGGGACATCCTCCAATTGTCTGCTGTGCCTCAGCCTTGTCTCTAGGTTCTTATAATTTTCCATCTGGTGGATTCCACTGTCTAATAAGCTCCCAAGAGTGGCAGTTATTCAAATTATGATCTTAATGTTAACACTGTGTCAAAGAGTGATACTTATCCTCTTTATTCAATATTAACCAACATACACAAAAATCTATTTTATTCAGTGATACCTTTTATATTATAAATGTGCTTTTGATTGAATTTCATTCATTCCAAAATTGAAAGCATATGCCACAAGTATTTACTAAGTATAAAGTCCTGAATTAGGCACTGTGGAGTAATATAGTATTATAGGTAGGTACAGTACAGTAATACAGCTATTGTTAAGAATAGCTGTATAAGAAAGAGGCTTACAACAAAATGTACAGCACTCAAATGCTTATAGGCGCTTTTAATAATGAAGAACATAACACTTCCTGTGGTTTTCTCTCAGTGATATGGACAAATTAAAATGTGCATCAAACATTTGTATTACATATGAATTAACATATGAATCAGGATATGGAAACAAAATATATGACCTAAGAATAATAATGGCAAATTTTTGTTCAAAGCTTTTTTTACCAATATTTTTCATTTTAATATACTGGCAAATATGCTATTACAAGCAGTATACTTATCAGATAAAGTATACATGTGGGTATAAAAGACATAAAACAAAGCCAGGGATTTAGCACACGTAGGGTGTGTGTAAAATGCCTCTAATATACTCTAAGTATGTTATGAAATGGCCTACTGAAACACGCACCGAAAACTAGACTCAACTGAAGTCTGTTCCAGTCAGCAATTTGACAGAAACCAAGACAATTACAAAAATTATAACAAGCTCTATGCAAAGTTCACCCCTATCCTCTCAGATACCAGAATCAGAATGAATCAGAAGAAGAAGGGAGAACAAAAACACTTTCATCCCTTGAAAGAAATCTGATGGATGATTCAGCAGGTTATTTCTTTTGGTAGTTAGCCTCCCTAAAAGTCACCTGCCTGAGTTTTTAATTAGTCAATTTAGCTCATATGTCAGAAAATAGATTTTCTTCTCAGCCCACATCCTAGGCCCACTGCCATCTCTGATTAAAGTTCCAGTCTTTGAAGAGCTCAGCTGAGTATGAACACTTACAGAAGTCTAATAGCGTGACCCCACAAGATATATTTTAAAGGTCATTTTTCATCCTTGGTTTTTAGAGTATACCTATAATTATATAACATGGAGTAAAATATTTCAAATGATAAATTTATTAAATAGAGCATGTAATAAAATAGCATAAATAAATATGCATGCCTATATATATTCACTTAAAAAGGAAAGTAGTACTGTGAGTTCTGAGAAGTAACAAAAAGGGGCTCTCTCTCTACACGACTGGTAAGGAATTTTTGAGGTGGTTGCCAAAGATAAGAATTTTTAAAGGAACATATTGTTTTTCCTTAATCCTGATGGGTACATTTGGTAAAGTGTTAACAGATGTACACAGTCTTATCTCGGCCTCTCCAAAAAAAAAAAAAAAAAAAATGCCATTAACCATACCTTTGCTTTTGACATTTAAAGCTCTAAGACTCAAACTGAAATCAAAGGAAAATTCCAGAAACCTCAGGCAAAGCTTTGCTTACACACCACATCTTCAAATAACTTGTTGTGGATCCTTAGCGATACATTCTTCTAGAGCATAATAAATGAATGGAAACTACAGATTTATCATTATTAGAGAAGCCTGCACATGAGAAACCAGCCCAGGTCTTCCCACTGAACACATACAGTTGAAGACATTGCTGCCTCTGTGGCATCTTTGTACTAATGCCTGTATATGGATGAGACTTGAAACAAAGAATGACAACTATATAGTACTCACATTTGCTATTTTGCCCACCCAGTGGTTTCATTTAAATTTCTAGGCCTTCACTATATCTCTGAAATTCCATGAGTGAAACTAGACTGCTGAGAGAAGGGGACAGAAAAATGAATGAAAGACTAGTCTTCTTCTGAACTATTTAATTTCTAAATGATCTAAACATTTCTCATCCTCAATGGTTATCAGAAACTGAGTGGAGTCTTAAAAGTATTAGTCCATATATATATATATGTTGTATAAATATTATTTTATAATAAAATTTGTTTTACTTTTTTCCTTTCTGTTTTAAAAGACACTAGTATCTTGCTACCTAGGAATGTAAATAAAGAACCAAGAAGCCTCAATGTCCTCGGAATTCTTGGGACTACTGGTAAGAGACTTCAGAGCCCCAAATGGAGGTTCTTTAACGCCAAAAACCTACTTAATAACTTTATCTTTATTCTCTTTATAATTTTCATAACTATTTACATAATATTAGGTATACATAGTATGACTCTAAAATAGGTATGTTTGATCAATGTCCACAGAACAGGTTTAGAATGAAGAGATCATCAGTCCTACGCAAAATTATATATAAATGCTATATATTCCTAGGAGGAAGGAAATATAGCAGCCTATTTATTGTTAATGGTAGGACATTATTCCTCTGGATGAAATGGGATTTATGTAAATCTCAAGTGTGGATGAGAGGAGATGAAATAAGAGAGATGTGGTGAGGGAAAGTGTTTTTGTAATGTGTTGGAATGAGTCCACACAACTTTCTTGCTCATATTTTTGCCTTTACAGGCATAACTGCAGCTGAACAGTCATTAGGAATTATGTGGTGGTTTATCTTCTCCAACGGCATTACTCACCTTCAGGTCCCGATGGACTACGCCCATCTGATGGCAGTGTAGCACAGCCTCCAGGATCTGCTGAATGCAATGACTGCATGCAAACACCAGGGGGCGTGTGTTAGTTCCAAGCTTACACTCACTGTCTGTACACCCTCACAGAGACTGGGTTAAAGTGCAAAACCAACAGACAACTGGGGTTGTGTTTTACCACCTTCAGTAATGTAAACATATTGCTCAAGTAGAGTGACTACTACCTCAGAGCAATCAGGATCTTGCCGGATGTGAGCGAAAATGTGGATCCACTTGATCTAGAAAAAAACCATCTTAAAAATATTTAATTCAGTAGCTCATTTCCTAGTTATAAATTCTTATAGGAAAAGAACTGGAATGCAAATAAAATTTTTATAGCTGTTGTGGTCCACCTCCACCCCACATAAAAAAACTGTTTCCCTATTCCCTCCCATTTTTCTAGTATCATTCCAAAGCTGTCACATTAGCAGTCAAGGCACCATTAAGGTTAAATTAGGATACGTAATGAATTTTTTATAAATCATTAACTTCTTGTGCTTTAATTTAGCTGGCAATTATTATCTCTTGCCTGAGGGTTCATCAGACTCAAATGGAGCAATGTGTAACCAGTTGTTTTGCTACAGCAACCCATGGTCTCAGAACAGAAGTGGTGTTTAAATCTACAGGCGGACATACATCACAGGCCAAGTTTATCTCCAGGCAAATGCTGGACATTTCAGGAAAGCCTGCCCCCAAACCGCTTCTGGTAGTTTACTGCTTGGAAACTTGACAGGTTGTGTTCCTAATATTGTCCTTCCCTTTCTGCTATGATGTATATTTAGCCTGTAGATGAGCAAACTGAAAGAGGCATCATGCATTATCATTTCATCATGTAGTCATTTTAGGGAAAAATTGGGAAAGGCAAGGGAACCATTTTAAGTACCCACCCTCTGCCCTTTCCCCAGAAATAAAACCAAAATAAACCTCCTTTGATTCAGATTTATGGACTCCATATACTGACCTTCAGGTCCCTGTGAACTATGCCATTTAGGTGACAATGATTTACACTTTCTAGAATCTGCTGTATACAATGACTGTAAAGATACAAGGGTAGAATGGAAGGGAGAACATTTTAAAGGTACATAATCACATTGAATACAAAATAAAATGAAAGTTAAAATGAAACAAACAAACAAACAAACATTATATTTTTTCACATCTTTTTTAGCTTTACACTGGAATTTAATAATGCTGAATAAAGCTAATTCTGGTTCTAACAAAAATGACATCCAACATAGAGTTTGTGACATGTTCAGACAAAACAATTTGAGCTGTGTTTTTTTTTTCCATTGAAAATGTACAAATTAAATCACTTGTATACTGAAGTTAAAATTTCCATATTTGAGGAGAAAATTCACAAATATTCCCATAACGTTCTGGGAAAATTCTTCAGCAGTATAAAATTTATGGGTATTTCTCATACACATCTAAACTGTTTAAAATCTGAGGTCACAATTAAACATAGGTGTTGAAACAAGAGGGTAAACACAGATGAAGTGGCAGGTGAAACAAGGGTTAAAAAACATGGAGTGACACATTTATCATTTCAACTTAGAAATGGTGCTTCTTATAGAATATAGTAAGAGGAAACTAATACAAGTCTCCAATAACAGAGGGAGAATTTCAAGTAAACCCATGACATAAAACAAACCCCTCTTCAGGATAGGCATACTCTGGAGAAGGGCTAGGACCTTACAAAAAAATAAATTTTAAAATCCCCTGGAACACTGGTAATTGTTAGATATAGTTCCATACACCACAGTGAAGGAAAACTTTCCTTATCACTATGTCAAAAAGCACAATTTACACTATTCTTATTAAGGGCTCGCTGATGTCAAACAGACAGCTAATTAAATTAGAGGGGATAAATCATTGCTAGGCACCTGTAAGGTCCCATGAGCTGTCATCTGACATAAAATAATATAGATCACACTGACACATTTTGTCCAAATTTACATTTGTGCGATTCAAATGCATGTTATGTACTGAGCTACATTCATTAACAAACATTTTAATAAGGACATTTTCAACCGTTTAATGCACAAAATAATATTACTCCAAAGTAAATTCTTGAATTATAAAAAGTAATCACCATCTGATTTCTTACAATGTGAATGTAAAAAAGCGATCAAGGTTATGATTTTCCAGCTCTAACTCTATAGAGTCCCACTAAAAGAGCTAAACATTGGTTGTTTTTTGACCACATAGCTTGAGTGTTGGTAATTATTTTTTAAATATTATGACTTTTTTTCCCCTTCATTTTGTACTACTTTTTAGAAATATTTCACTTTCTCTTCTCAAACCACAGATATGTTATTAGGCTTAATGAATAATGCAAAATAAAGTGTACAATAATTCATATTAAATGAACATCATTTTTTACTAGTGAGAATGGATTCAATTCTTCAGTTCTTGAGGACTAGTAGGGAAAGACTTTTTCTTTATGTTTGTACTTGGGATGAGACTGTTCCTTCTCCTTCATTTTGTGTAGGATGTACCCTAAAAAATATTCACTTCTAGTGAATTCCAAAACCTAATATAAACATGCATATAAAATGATCCAACCCATAGGGTCTCCCCTGTTATCTACAGGCTCTTCAATAGTGAAAACAGTTTCTATTTTAATTTCAAACAATACTTTTAAAACACAATGACCTGCTTAACATAACTTCAAAAAGCAAAATAAATGTAATTCCCTAACTTGTTAACTACCTTGATTAAAGTTATTGCTCTCTCTGGGCAAGTGGGCAAATAGCTACTCGCAAGGCTGCTCTGAAGCTCCCTTTCAGGGCCCTAACATGAGAACTGGGGTGAACTGGGCATGTTAAGATTCACGCATGATAGTATAAATGATACGTCAGTTTGTATTTGACTTTGGCAGTAAAAATTCCATTAAAAAATTAGAGTGTAGTCATGTACAGAGAAGATTCACAGAATGTCATAAACTGGCATAAAACCAAGAAGATTAATTAGAGATTTGCAAGTGAGCCGGTGGGTGCATGTGCTAACTTTGAAGGGATGGGGAGGGAATCGGCTATCAGCTGACTATCTGCTGAGCACAGGCTACAGTGGGATTAGCAAGCTTTAGGAAGCTCTGAAAGCATTAGAGAATGGGGGCAGACAATAAGTAATTGAATTTTCATAACATCTCCTTTACATTGTTAATAATGAGTCAATAGCTCAAGGCCAGATCTTTCAAATTAAGTGCCAACTACTGAATATGTATAAAGAAATGCCAAGGAAAACTAACATGATACAGTTAATATCTAGGCAAGTAAATTAATGTCACTTCACTCCAAAAAGGTTGACTTTGTGTAGCCTAGGAAGTTTCAAATGAGAGAAAATGGATAGCCATTGTTAACCTCTGTAAAGATGATGCCAATTAACAAGGTTGGGAAATCCTTTTGAACCCTCTGAAATATCCGAATAAATATTTTTCACATGAGGGTTCCAAAAGCCATCCTGGAATTCCCAAAGAGTTAAACAGCTAATACTGCTTTAAGGAGAACACTGGGACTTTTGTAGTCTGTTTTTATGGTCTCTGATTAAACATGGGTTGTTCAGTGGAGCTTTCTGTGATGATGGAAATGTTCTATATTTGCTATGTCCAACTGGTAGCCGCTAGCCACTTATGGCCACTCAGCATTCAAAATGTAGCTAGTACAACTGAGAAACTAAATTTTTTATTTAATTGTAATTAATTGAAATTAAAATAGCCATGTGTTACTAATGGCTACCATAATGGGCAGTTCAGGATCTAGAGACCAGAAGATCTGCATTTTTGCTCTCTTAACCTCGCTAAAAAAGTACATTTCTTTAGCAGAAGTCATTCCAGGTAGAGTATAGATTTTATTATTTATTTTTTAAAAGACCAACTGGAGATGCTAGTTTAGACCAGATTCTAGTTTTGTTTTCCCCAAACAATTATCCTGGAAATTCTTAAGAGAGAGAAACAGCAATTAAGAGGGACTCATCATGAGAAGTTGTCCAAGATAGTACTATGAAATTCTCATAAATACTAAGGGTTATGATGCATTTGTAAAGAGATATACTGAACAAGTGTCATTTGAATGTTGAGTCTTGTATCTTGCCCCCGGGCAAGTCACTTACCTGGCATCGGCTTCACTGTAATACTCTCTTGCCACTATGTCTTCAAACAGTTCACCTCCAGTAACTCTGTAAAGACAAACAAGATACTGACATTAAAAAAGAAAAATATATATGCATCAATGGACTTGCACCGTGTTCATGCAGAATTTTTGTTTTCAGATTACTTTGAAAATTACTATCAAGCCTGTAGAGTATGTGTTTGCAGGTTGTCTCTCTCTGGAGGGGCTTGTTTTTTAAACTGCAATAAACGTCTTTATGGTCTAGAGGTGCCCTTCCAAAATACCTACCACTTTTGGGCTGAGTGCTACCTAGATTTTCTTTGTAAAGCACCCCAATTTCCTTTATGCTCCATGTATTTGCCAGTGAACACAGACCTAGGGCTTTTGGAAACGTCCCTAGAAGGCAGTACTGATCCCTTGCCAACTAAGAAGCCAGATCTATCCTCCATCTTTAACTGAAGACTTTCCCACAACTCAGCAACTGGATTTAGTTACTCTACAAAGTACATTCAAACCAGGCGTTTCAAGGCTCTCTATATAAGTAGATATAACTATCTTTGGGATCCATTTCTTCTCCAGGTCCAAAAGACTGCTGCTCTGGGGCTCGAATTCCCTAACCAGTGATTCTCTGGCTTAGGTTCTCCTCCCGCCCCCATCAATAAATGTTTTTAACATATTTTTTTAGCAAAATTCAAAAAAATATGGAAGCATACCAAGCACTCTCTTATCTCTCAACCCCAATTCCACTCTCCAAAATAAACTAATTTTAACTATTCATATCCTTTTAACTTTCTGTGTATCTTTAAACACACCTTGCAAACACACACACACAAAACACATATTTTCTCACAAAAGTAGAATCATGCAATAAATACAAATTATTAGGCTAATTGTGTTTTTCATTTCACTTTAGGTCATGGGCACCATTTCATGTCAGAACATTTACCTTATTTAAAATAAGTAATAAACAGAGATATACATTTGTCTCTATGAGGATAGGGCAAACTGCCTTCTACAATGGTTGCACCCCCAATGTTGTAAAGGTGCCCAGTTTTTTCTAGTTAAAAAAAAGTTAGAAAAAAGTTACTGCATGTTAATATTTCTTAATTATTAGTGAAGTGAACCATTTTCTCATGCATTTATCAGCCATTTCTTCCTCTAGTATGATATGGCTTGATTTTAAAAGGAAATTTCAGCTTTGGAGCTTAACCCTGTAATAGCTAACATTTGTTTACCATGTGCTACACAGTGTGCTAAGTATTATATTAATTCATAAATCCTTGTAATTATTGCCTGAAATGAGTTTTACCACTCTCAGTTTATTGACGAGAACATGGAGGTATAGAGAGTAACCTGCCCAAAACTTAAGTGGCACAGGTGGGCCATCCATTCCGCAGTCCCTGCTCTCAATCTCTCAATCTGCACACAATGTAACTGTTCCAATAATTACACTGTCAATCTTCCCAGAAGTTTAGAAGGCATGAGTCATTTGAAAAACCACTGGGTGAAGGTATAAAGCTTGGTGTATGTTCATTATGGAATGGGAGATAAAATTACACTTAAGAGAGTTTTTTTAAAAAAGATTTTATTTATTTATTTGACAGAGAGAGACACAGCGAGAGAGGGAACACAAGCAGGGGGAGTGGGAGAGGGAGAAGCAGGCTTCCCGCTGAGCAGGAAGCCCGATGCGGGGCTCGATCCCAGGACCCTGGGATCACGACCTGAGCCGAAGGCAGATGCTTAATGACTGAGCCACCCAGGCACCCCTCTTAAGATAGCTTTTTAAAAAAAATTTCATTTGCTTTAATAAGTTCTAAAGCATCAACAAATAATAACATGTTCCAGAGATGACAAGTTATTATTTTCTTCTGTATTTTCCTTTCCTAAAGGAAAAGAGGCAATACTAAAAACTTAATGTGTCTGAAAGTTTATGCAACTTTGACTCTTCTTCATAGCATCCTGGATATTTATAAGACCTTTAACGCTGGAGTCATTATTTTTAGTCTTTACATATAAAATGTGCCTCTAAAATTATTTAAAGCTTCGTATGGGCTTGTTCTGAAAACCATGGTTACATGTACATGTAATTTCATTTAATAGCTCAGCAAGTTTTTATCCCCAGTTAGAATAACAATAATAATGCAATCACATAATATACCCGAGATAAATTATAATACAAAATAATTGAATATTAGATAGAAGGTATTTCCAACAAACCCATTATCCCTATAATGATAATAACAGTTTGTGGGATTTCTTCCTTTGAATGAATGTGACTAAGTTAAACATGATATATATCCATATTTATCTTTGTTTTTGATCACAGGTACCTAGAAACTTTGTATTACACACAAGGGTGGTTTGGAAAGTGTTTAACAAATATTGATTAAAAAGCTTATTGCCAAAAAAAAAGCTTATTGCCATTAATGAAATTGCTGCTTATAGTAGCTCCTTAAGCATATTGTATATCCCAAGAGAACTGTCATGTCATAAATCACTGGAATCACAACTTACTGATCTTTGCTACCATAGCATCTAACCCATAATATTTGCTCAATTAAGGAGTACTGAAGTAATGATTACATGAATTAACCGAGTCAGAAATGCTGTCCATTTACTCTAAGTCTGGATTTCACATGCACTTAAAAAGGAAAAAGAAAACATTAAAATTTGGCTCTCTATGGCAATAGGTTTTATTTCTAGGTGTTTGTATTTAAAGAAGAATATTAAAAACTCTTGGGGCGGGAACCTGGGTGGCTCAGATGGTTAAGCATCTGCCTTCGGCTCGGGTCATGATCCCAGGATCCTGGGATCGAGTCCCGCATCGGGCTCCCTGCTCGGCGGGGAGCCTGCTTCTCCCTTTGCTTCTCTCTCTCTCTCTCTCTGTCTCTCATGAATAAATAAATAAAATCTTAAAAAAAAAAAAAACTCTTGGGGCCTAGCATTCTTGTAATTTTCAGTGAACTATTCTAGCTGTTAAAGAAATTTAAGGTGTACAGAGTTTTATGTTAAGCATCTCTGAGAGCACTCTTTCTCATTTTCTAACATTCATTCTTCCCATTATTTAAAAATATCCTTGTGCAAATGAAACCATTTTATCATTTCTGTTATATGTATAATAAATGTCTGGGAAGGAAAAAATGGAGTTCTAATAGAACATGCTGCCTTGAGGATAAGCTATTGAATTTTCTAACTTTAACACATTTCTATACTGACATTATTGTTTAATGGAGCACAAAATTAAGCAGTAGTTATTACAGATTTTTAAAAAAAATTTAGCATGCTATGTAAAATTTCATACAAAGTCAAATTAAATCAGTCTCATGAATAAACTGTTAATTAACTAAGTAGAGATTTTGTGAATAAATTAATGTCAGAGTTCTGCTATGATATAAGGCATATCAATTATATATCTGAAGCATTAATTACCATTTATGAATCTCTAGAACATTAGGGCTTCCAGGGAAAAAATAAGATAATCCTAGAATCATGAGACGTTGAGACTTCACATATCAAAAAGATAAATACTTTTGTTGCTATTCTTGTTATTTATAGGGATGTTGATTCATTCTGTGTTATCCAACCGAATGAACTGCTCCTTTCTTCCTAGTCTATACTTATGATTTATATCAGAAATGGTTGAAAGTGGTTTCATATTGAATGAAACATTCATAAAATTTCAGGAGGATTACAGCCTTGAGTATGAGGCTAAGCAGACAATAGAGTCCAAAACTGGGCTTTAGAAGATCAAACAGTACCACATTAACACAAGAACCAGCAATGACACAGTGATTAGAACCACTGCCCCGAGGTGGTGGAGAGAAACCCAGGACTCTCAGGATGCAGCCACGTTGGAGGGTGCAGCTAACTCACAGTAGGAGGTAATCTCACCAAAGCAGGGCCAGGAATGTCCCCTGGAAAAAGAAGTAATTCCTCCCAAACACTAAGTATAAAGCTGAAGAATAAACCCAATGAGTAGAAGCCACCAGACCTGTAATCCAAGGCTCTGAGCAGAATCTCTAGAACATTAGGGCTTCCAACATTAGCTGGAGTCAAGTTAGCAAAGAATCACTACGGTCAGATTTTTGTCAAAAAACATATCATATGCTACCTTGCATTTGGGTGGCAGGCATGTCTCCTCTAAGACAGAAGCTATGATGGTGATGTGTTCATCTATTACCTTCATGGTGTCCAGCACACTGCCTTCTATATTGTTGAACAATAACAGCAAATATCCATTGGGTGCTCACTACGTGCCAAGGCCAAGTGTTGTTCTAAGTTTCTATAGGTTACAAGACAATAACCCCATGAGGTAGATACTAGTGCTATTTCCATTTTATAGAGGAGAAAACAGAAGTAATGAAAATTAAAGACTTTTCCCAAGAACACATAGCACAAGAAGGAAAAAGGGTTTGTTCTCATCTGTGCTGCCCTAATAGCTGCCCCTCTGGACACAATCTGGAGAGCAGAGGAGCAAGTCAAGGGTCTCTGGAGAGCCCAAGGGATCATGCGGAAAGACTGGAAAGAATACTGACGTAAAGGCATTCCGTTTATATCCCTTTTTTAAAAAAAGATTTATTTTTTGACAGAGAGAGAGAGTACAAGCACGCAGAGCGGCAGGCAGAGGGAGAGGGATCATGACCCGAGTTGAAGGCAGACGCTTAACTGATTGAACCACCCAGGAGCTCCTATATCCCTTTTTTAAAGTCAGACTGCTGGCCAGGGCTGGAGAGTAGTCATTGGTCAAAGTAAAGCTGACCAGGGTTCATCAACAGGAGGGTTACTGCCTTTTTTGGCCATGTGGGATGGCCCCTTGCATGACAAGATTGTTAGTACCAGGCCCCATGCTAGGTGCCAATGGCACTACCTCGTCAGTGTGGCAACCTATGTGCCAATTTATACCATTTACAGTCACCCCCCTCAGGGCCCCCTAGACATCCTTGATGTCTGAGCTAAGGGAACAAAATCTACTACAGAGATATAATTGAGAACTTAGGTTTTCTTGGCACCATGTTTTAACATACATAGTCAATCAAGCTAACCATTGGTGCAAGGGTCCTTTAGGCA